AATAGCAATATTTTATCAGATGTCACAAAATGTGAAAACTAATTTTTTTAAAAAAAATTCGACTAGTTTGTTAATTTTAAAATTGTATTTTGAAAACTTTGTGGTGGTGTATTTTTTTTCAAGTTTTTATCAATTTAAGTGATGTAGTGGTAAGAAAAGAATAATACAGTACTTTTCATAATTAAAAATTATAATTACTATTTATTTTATTATAGAAAAAATATTTTAGAATTTTTTATTTTTTAATAATTATTCCAAAATTTCCTGAGGTCTATAAAATACTAGATCGATGTAGACATCGTGAATGAATTGAAAGTTAAGTTGAATTGAAATTTTTTGGAAAAGCATCCCTCGAAAATTACTACACGGGAAATGTTGCTATAACACGCTTTTCTTCCAAATATATTTCATGGGAAAATGAAAACTAACGTTTTGCATGAGAATTTAAGTTCTGCGATTTCCAATAGGAGGATTTTCTGCAATTTCAAATAGGGGAATATATAGCAAATAGAATCGTTTATAAGTGATTTTTTGCTATTAATCAAATAATAATGCTATGTAACGTCAATTTAAATGATAGTGGACCCCAAAAATCCATAGTATTATTAAGAAGAAGAAACATAACCGCCTCCTCAACCACTATTTTTGCTGGGATTGTGCTACTTGTACATGGAGTTTGACAGATACATTGACAGAAGAAGGAAAAAAAAAGCAGTTTGCCCGTCAACCACCTCACTTCTCCTGATGCAGTCATGAAGTGGAAATGAAAACCTAGTCAGGCGACCTATTTCAAATATGCCTTCAAAGTCGAGTGTGTTTTAACCCTATAATTAATGGTCAATAACTGTTCTAAATTAATTACTGTACAATAACATGAGAATCAGTTATCAATGTCAGTATTCCAAGCAACAAGTTTATTCATTTCACCAGAAAAAATTTCAATATAATATTTTACTATTTGCTCCATCAAACTAAGAAAAAGAAAGATGAGTACAAATCACAATCCCACAGGGCGAAAAATATCTACATTAGACTGCAAAATGTGTCGATTGATCCTAATAAAAACACAGATTCTCTTACTCGAGTAGGTGTGCGTATAAAAGCAGATGTATAAGCTCTCGTGCGCGAATGCAAAATATAAAGTTCAAAGAATGCATTATTTTATTTATTTGTTAGTTTAGAATATTGAAAATAGTATTAAAAATTGAAAGCACACAATTACGCTTCTTCTTCGCATGGTCATGTGTATGATTGTAGTGTTTGGTACTTAATCGAAATGCATTGTCATGCATTATGCATTTTAGAACTTTGGTTTTATGTAATTGTTTCGCGCGGGTTGTCGCTAACAATTAAAAAAGGTTCAGACGATTGTGTAAGGAACAGACCTCTTGAGACAAAGTCTCAAAAATGGGTGTTTTATTGATGAAAATTTACAATTGGAAATGAACAGAATGCCTCCAAGTGGCGTAAGCACAAGAGTACTAAAAGAAGTGTTTAAAATTAAACTAAAAAATTGAAATTACATATTTTTTTGTTGAGAGTGTTTGATTTTGGGTCTTTTTCTCTCTGTCTTCTCTTCATTTTTATACTTCCTTTATAATTCATTCATGACAAATCGCTTGGAAACTACTTGATTTCTCTATAACTACTCACTTTCTTGATGATGGCTGACTTGTCATGGAACTGCTTTCTCTAACTGTTGTCATTACTCTCATCGTTCAACCGCCTACAACTGTAATTCTTGGATTGTGGGATGTGATAAGGTTGCTTAATAACCGTTTCAATGACTGCTTCTCTGGATAACCATAATAACTCATGTTTGCTAAGATCCTAGGCGATTCGAAAGTTTGGACGAGAATAGGCTCATTCGCTCTGGGCAATTTTAAGGTACTCCACTTGCTCAGATCTTGGGCGTCTTGCAAGTTTGGGTGATGATAGTACCTTGTTCGTGGGCCTCCCTGCATTAATGGTCCTATTTGGGCTTTCATCATGGGCTTCTTAACTGGGTTTCATTTGGATTACTCGATTTGGGCTACACTTTTTGTATGTCAACAGTAATCGTGACATGTTTAATTAAATTATAAATAGCAATATTTTATCAGATGTCACAAAATGTGAACTAATTTTTTTAAAAAAAAAATGCGACTAGTTTGTTAATTTTAAAATTGTATTTTGAAAACTTTGTGGTGATGTATTTTTTTTCAAGTTTTTATCAATTTAAGTGATGTAGTGGTAAGAAAAGAATAATACAGTACTTTTCATAATTAAAAATTATAATTACTATGTATTTTATTATAGAAAAAATACTTTAGAATTTTTTATTTTTTAATAATTATTCCAAAAGAGGTCTATAAAATACTAGATCGATGTAAACATCGTGAATGAATTGAAAGTTAAGTTGAATTGAAATTTTTTGGAAAAGCATCCCTCGAAAATTACTACACGGGAAATGTTGCTATAACACGCTTTTCTTCTAAATATATTTCATGGGAAAATGAAAACTAACGTTTTGCATGAGAATATAAGTTCTGCAATTTCCAATAGGCGGATTTTCTGCAATTTCAAATAGGGGAATATATCGCAAATAGAATCGTTTTTATAAGTGATTTTTTGCTATTAATCCAATAATAATGCTATGTAACGTCAATTTAAATGATAGCGGACCCCAAAAATTCATAGTATTACTAAGAAGAAGAAACATAACCGCCTATTCAACCACTATTTTTGCTGGGATTGTGCTACTTGTACAAGGAGTTTGATAGATACATTGACAAAAGAAGGAAAAAAAAAAAAAAAAAACCAGTTTGCCTGTCAACCACCTCACTTCTCCTGATGCAGTCATGAAGTGGAAATGAAAACCTAGTTAGGCGACCTATTTCGATTGAAAAATTAATTTGGGGTGACTAAAATGAAGAAAAATGCTATTCATCCCCAGTGGAGATGCATCCCCAGTCTACGTGGATGTAAATGATTGGTTAAATGATAGGTGAAATTAAATGACTTATTTAATTTCACCTATCATTTAATGCCACATTAACGCCACATAGATTGGGGATGCATCCCCAATAGGGATGAATAACATTTCTCATACAATGAAATATGCCTTCAAAGTCAAGTGTGTTTTAACCCTATAATTAAAGGTCAATAACTGTTCTAAATTAATTACTGTACAATAACATGAGAATCAGTCATCAAAGTCAGTATTCCAATCAACAAGTTTATTCATTTCACCAGAAAACATTGCAATATAATAATTTACTATTTGCTCCATCAAACTAAGAAAAAGAAAGATGAGTACAAATCACAATCCCACAGGGCGAAAAATATCTACATTAGACTGCAAAATGTGTCGATTGATCCTAATAAAAACACAGATTCTTTTACTCGAGTAGGTGTGCGTATAAAAGCAGATGGATAAGCTCTCGTGCGCGAATGCAAAAACTCGAGTAGGTGTGCGTATAAAAGCAGGTGGATAAGCTCTCGGGCGCGAATGCAAATTACATGGGGAAAATGTGAGGACTTTTTGTGCGGAAAGTGAACTTAGGATCAACAAAATAAAGTCAGGCAGGGAAGAAAGACGCAGGATAGGAAAATGAAATATTCATATTTGATGGGCATGAACCGATGTACAAAGAATTTGCATTAGCAAATGAAGACTTTCACTTCACTTAAAGTAAGGCTTGCAGGAGAAAGAGAAAATGAGCAGTAAAGTACCACATGGATAGAGAGTAAAGCAATGCCATAACTTTTGTTTCAAGTTAAATATAAAGGTTGACAGTTTCACATTAACTACCAATTATGGGATGGAGAAGGTATCGTGCTGCATAAAGAATCACTGAATTAGTGAGAAAGAACCATAGCATTCAATCACTAAAATTGTATTCAGATAAATCAGATAAAATATGCATGTACAAAGATAGTTCCATCTTAATAATCCATGATATAGGTAATGTATACATGAAATTGTCACATCCCCATAGTGAAAAAATGGGTAAAATGCTCTCATAATTAAGAAACATTTTTGTGAAATTATTGGCAACTTGAAGTTCACGAATATACCACATTATTGAACTTAATTCAATTGCAATTATTGCATAAGAATAGAACAAATAGGTTGACTAAAGGTAAAGTGAGAGGGGGAACCGATACATTTTTATGCACAAGAATATATGAGAATGCTATCCTTTATCACCCCAATTATCTAGCTGGTATTAAAAGAAGCCTCTGAAAAAGTGAATTTGATGAATTCACAGAATGTGTGCACCATATATAAAGTAAAGATGAAACAATGTGCAACTAAACTTGTTTGGATACAAGAAGCAACAGGTACACAGGATAAACAGAATGACAAGCGTTGAAGAACAGAAAGATGTCAAACAATAGCACAATCCCACCAGTGAATAATATTGTGAACTTGAGTCTCGTCAATCTATCAGACATTGTAATGCATTTCTCAATGGTAAACCAAAACACAAAGGCAGAAGTTCCAATCAATGCTAAGTTTTTAATCCATTCAAATTTTGCAGTACAAGGATCAAGAGACAGAAAAGAAGAATCGCAGAGAAAGATATACATATCATCGGCACTAAACGCCAGCGATGCATATCCACTGATATCCAATAAATCATGAACTGGAAGTAACTATGGTATGCACTACAAATCTGATCTAAAGCTTTGTATACTATATTTTACATTTATTCAGTAACTGGTATAGATTGACAACGAAACACGACAGTTTGAGCTTCTACAGCATGATATCAAACCACATCGACTTTTACCAATAACAGCAATATGACATACACTCAAGAAAAAAAAAAAAAAAAAAACNAAAAAAAAAAAAAAAAAAAAAACGAGAGAGGACCAGAATTTCTTAATACATATCACAAACCAATGAGAATAAAAAGAGACTCTGTAGTATAAACTGCATTGACAAATCAATCCATTGCTGCAAAATTGTTTATCCAGCACAAAACTTCCCATGACACCTGTCATGGTAAGTTTTAAGATGCTTGATGTTCTCTGGACGCTGCAGTTGATGCATCAGGTAATATCTTTGTAGGGGCTGATGACATAGTCTGGTACTGAGCGGCCATCTGAGGTGACACAGGCTGGGAATATATTTCAGCATGTCTAGGATCAGCATATGCATAGGCATAATTAGAATTGGCAGCAGACGGGGGAGCCATTGATTGAGGAGGATAAATTTGAGTGTAACCAACATACTGGGCTTGGTGCTGACTGGAAGGAACCTCGACTAATGGTGAAGATGCTGCAGCTGCTGTTCTGTATACACCAATGGCCGAATCGGATTTGGAAACAGGATCATTTCTGGTCTGAATATAAGCTGCAGATGGAGGCATTGCAGCCAAAGGAGGTTTCTGGGGGTGGCTAGAAGGGGCAGGCGATACTAATTCACCATAACTTGGTTGCTGCATTGGTAAATTATAAGTTTGGGCTGGTCTAGCAGGCAAGAAATAAACTGGGTACTGCTGCTCAAGTGCAGAGTGTTGTGGATGATATTGTAGCTGGGAAGAGTATGCAGGGTAATACGACCCAATTGGCACTGGCCCAGCTGAGATATAAGGGGTACTGGAATGAACAAACTGTTGTGGCTGATGCATTTGAGGATTATTTTGGTCAAACTGGCCTGGTAATACATAATAGGATTCCTGAACTTGAGGATGCATCTGAACCCTGGTATAGTTTTGATTCTCAGTCTTCAAATCAACTGGATCGGCAGAAACATTACTATTTCCAGATTTAATTTTTACAGTAGGTTCTTGATAAATAATTTGTCCCTGCCTAAAGAATGGGTTTGCTACACTTCCATCACTGTTCGGTTAAACCATCAAAATCCCAATTCAGATCAATTTGAATTCATTGTACTGACCAAAAAAAAAACAAAAAAAGGGAAATTCTACTTATAGTTAATTGGGGGTACCTTGAAACTGATTCTGGGGAAAGCAAATCAACAGGTCCAGTTTGTTTCTGTTGAAATTGAGGAATCTGCTGTTGTTGTAATTGTACCTGTTGTTGCTGCACTTGTTCTGGTTTCCTATTCCCACCGCGATCATCAGAGAAAACACGATTGGCATACTCCCCACCAACCACCATCGGAACCCTTGAAACCACCGCCCTAGCCGCCACACCAGTGGCTAAACCCCCAACCTCCTCCTGCTTCCGCGGTAAATTAACATTTCCACCAACACCTACAGCCCCAAAATTTATCTGCTGAAATTGCTCCTCAATTCCCATCCCTCCCACTTTCTGGTTCTCCTCGACATGTAATTTTGCCGGTGGAAGGTTCGCCGTGGACGGAGAACTCGAGGTAGACCCAAATGACGAGGTGGTTTCTAGCATAGGGGAATCCGGGATAGAATGCACATCATGATTAAGGGAAGTCCCATTCCCATTTCCACTTCCACCATTCTTCGACGCCTCAATTTGGGCTTCCACATCTTTCTCTCCCACGGCCGCCTTACCCACAAATTCATCTTCCAACCCAAGAAGACAATTAACGGAAGAAGATTCAGAAAACCCACGATCACTAACCCCACCAGAAATATTACTAGCTTTCCCATTCAACGCATCTAGAAACCAGTCCTCCGATTTTGTCGATGATGTCTCTACAAGAAGCTGTTCAATACTCGAACTCTTAGGAAACAAAAACAGGCGGAGGCGACCAGGTTTCGACCCACTCGCAAAATTAAGCCGGTCGTATTCTTCAACCATGTTCTCGAAATCTTCATCCGTAGTAACAGAAATTAACGAGTCCAGGTCTTCGTTGGGGATCTGGTATCTGAGAGTGAAAGACTCGTTGTTGAGGAGGGTTTTGGAGAGCCGGTGGTGGATGTCGGAAAATGAGTCGGTCCGGTCGATGACGATGATACGGGTGGTGCCGCCAATGTAGCAAAGTGACTTGTCATGAGGGCGGGGGACTATGTGGCCGCCATAGCTGCACATAAGGCGGAGCTTTGGAAGTTGGGGCGATATTGGCGGTGGGTCTTCCCAGGATTTTGTTTGTCGAGAGTGGGTTGAAGAATCTACAGAATTTGGTTGGGGTTGCTGCGGTGGTTGGGCGGCGGCGGTGGTGGTGGTGGGCTGAGCTGTGGTGAGTGGTGGTGGGGACTCCATGGGGTCGGAGTTGGAAAAAAGGGGAAGCGAAATGTCTTGAGTAGGATGATTATATAGCTCCTGCAGCCTCCAGCTGTTTTCCAACTAATTTAGAGAAATTTATGGTCAAGGTCCTTAAGCATTTCCACATAGAGCATTTGGTCCTCTTATTTGTGTCCCTGGTGATCACATCCAGCCTTTTTTTTTTTTTGACCTTTCTTAAGTTCCCTTCTTCCTTCAATTTAGAGGGTTAAAAAATTTATGCTCGAAACATGCTATTAAAATAGGATTTGGGAGCGAAAGATGAACAATGGTGCTTAAAAGATTAAGCCCCTGTATACTCCACTATTTGCAAAATTAAAATCCATTTTTATACCGTTCGTAAATCTCGTATCTGGCTTGTAGTGTGAAGGAAGTCAACAATTGCGACAACTAATAGTCCATAATTCATTAAAACATGGATGAAAATTGCCACCAAACAGGCGCTAAACTCCACAAATCTTATCACATTAGCACCAAACTTTATTTTTGTTTATGTCATTTCGGTAGGACAATAAATTATTCAAAGATTTTACTGATACGTTGGAACAAAAAGATTACAGTCAGCAAGATTTAATAATCTTGAAAACTAAAATAGCATATTTGAATAATTTAATGTATAATTACAAGATTAGTATGTCATGAAATTGTTTTATTTTGAAAATGAAGCAATTTACATCCACCAATGAAGCAAGTGCATCAATTATAAAGCTTTTGGTATGCAATTGCCGTTAAAATAAGAATTAGGGCCCCATGTGCTCCAAGCATCAAGGTTTGGCAACCTTCGTTGCGAATTTCCATTAATTTAATTATTTATTTTCTATATTAGCTAATTAAATATTTATTAATAGTCAGTAAAGTTATAAATAATTATAATATAATGGAATTTTGATACGCATCTCTCATTTAATACTAAGCTCATATTAGGTTTATTTGGATTAAAATTGATAAAATATATGATTAAAAAATTAATAAAAGACGTAGATCCCATAAAATATAGTTAAAATTAAATTTAGAAAAAAACGAGTTTTTAAAAAGGCCATACAGGGACTAATAATTTATGAATAATCGAAAATTTCAGGTATCGTGCTTCCATATACTTGTACAAATGTTTCTTTGACTATGTTTACAACCGATATAGGAAAAAAAATCTTTGAAAGAATTAAAAAAATAATATAAAATACGATTAAATTCACATAGAAAAAGTAGGTTATCAAATTATTATCGAGCCGAAAAGTTGGCGTAGCGTAGTCACAAATCTAACCGTGAAATTTTTATTGAGTAAAGATAACGTATTGTATTATAATAATCAAATCCATTCCACGTTCTCATTCAAATTTTCTGAAAAAGAGACTGCGCCGTTTTTCAATCTTCTTTAGTATTTTTTAATTACAGATGATTTATTAACTGAATGAACCTATAGAATTGTTTAACACCGTCACTGTTTAGTTGTTACTGTAAGAAAATTGGAGAAATTAGCCAAAAAAATGGGATAATTTTTTGTTATATAAGGGTTAATTGAGGAAGCAAATGAGAATTAAAATTCAAGATTGAAGACAAGACCTTGGGTTTTGAAACTGTGGGAGAGTGTGGAAAGTTCACGTGGACTGACAGATAGATTTGGGTAGTTGTGTGGTGGCGTGGGCCCGGACATGTTCAGACTGGCTTATTTGTCAGGTGACTCATCACTCTCAATGGATCTTAACGTCAACCTCAAAGGATACTGCACCATGTTTGTCGAAGCTTATAATTTACGACTTAAGCCCATCTTTCAATGAATCGCATCTTGTATACTTACATTAGCTAGACATTTGTTAAAATCCATAATTTATAAGTACTTAAAAACACGAAATTATATATATTTCTAACGTCGGTGAAAGTACCGACATGTTAACTTCAAATTTTGATTGGACTACGTTGTCAAAAGATTACTTGTTACTTACATAGGCCATGATTGAGCCACATTATTTTTTTCATTCTCATTCTTTTACTCATTTTTAATCACACATTCTTCAATAAAATAATATTTTCCATCACATCAATAATTTTTCCTTCTTTTTCAACCACATATTTCACATCACATCATCAGTAAAAAGGTGAAAGTACCGACATGTTAACTTCAAATTTTGATTGGACTACGTTGTCAAAAGATTACTTGTTACTTACATAGGCCCTGTTTGAGCCACATTATTTTTTTCATTCTCATTCTTTTACTCATTTTTAATCACACATTCTTCAATAAAATAATATTTTCCATCACATCAATAATTTTTCCTTCTTTTTCAACCACATATTTCACATCACATCATCAGTAAAAATGCATTCTTCTTCCAAAAATATGCACCAAACGAGGGCATATTCCCTCATGCTTTACTTTTTACTTAGGGTGTGTTTGACACCCATTTTGATGAAAAATAAATTCTGGAATAGTGATTGATGGGAAGAATGTGTGGTTGAAAAGTAATAAGAATTTTTGGATTTATGTGTAATATTATTTTATTGATAGGATGTGTGGTTGAAATGAAGAAAGAGAAAAAAAATGAGAAAGAGAATGAGAAGAGAATGGATGTCAAACGGGGGCTTAGTCTACTTGCGAAGGCAATCGTTCTAAATGGAGCCCTAACGGCCGTTTGCACGATAGTCAAATCAACTCTCGAAAGAGAAAAATGTAAATTAATTGGTATAGAACATGTAAATGTAACGTAGCTTTGACATGTATTTATACATTGTGACCATATCTATCACAAATCTCTCCTGAAGGGTTTTAAAAAGATATGCTTTACAAGGCCTAAATAAAGAATAGGCCTATGATGCTAGGCTACCAAAACTTCAACTTAAAGCCAAGAAAATCTGCAAATCCAACAGCAAAAGATAAAATGAATCCATAGGCAAACAAGATTGCTAGAGCAGAGATTGGTGGAACAAGCAAGGTATCAATAGACAAATTCACCAGTCCTGTGAGGATGTTGGCCTGCAGATAGAGTAAGACTCTTGAGTGAACCAGAACAAGATATCGACGGTCAATGAGATTAAGGAAACTTTGTCTCACCAGAAGAAAAGATCCGAGTAAATTTCGATTAAATGCTTCTTCCATAGCTGAAACTTTACCTCCAGGCACATAATCGGATAGCATCAGAATGGCTAGCACCTGAAAATCATATTTATATAATTGCAAAACTAAACAAGTATGGATGAGCATTGAAGATGCCAAATTAAGATGAATTATTTTCCAAGATAATAATTGCAAGAACACACTGCCAAGATGAAACTAAACATTTTTCTTGATCGAAAGAAAAAGTTGCAAACTATGTGCATACCTTTGAAGTGATATATCATTGACAGAATTGGAATAATACAAAACAGCAGTACGATGGAAAGCAAAAGGCATAAGAAATATTAGAAAGGGCAAGGATCGAGGGGTGGGGGGAGTGAAAAAGAGGCATGATTTAATTTTGAAACAACTAAAGTTCAAAAGATATAACCCGGATTATATGAAACATTGTTTCACTGTTAGATTACACCCAGATAAAGGCTTGCAACAGAACAAGTTTACAACCAGAACATGCCCAGTTATATCACGGGATATTTGGGAAACTTCAACTTGGCCATACATTATTTTTATCATTTTGAAGGAGAAAAAAAAAAGTCAGTGCCTCCGCAATTTTTTTTGTATTTTCTAAAAAAATTCAAATAGTTGAAATACTAGTCAAATATTATTAATCTTCACGTATGAATCTTCCCTATTAAAAATGTTAAATTTTGCATACCTAGTTGTCACCTGTAAGAATAAAAGTTAAATAAAATGACAGATATCATATATGTATATGGTACTCTTTCTTGTCATGACATGCATGTCATACAAGCTTAACTACCAATAGAAGTTACAAAGGAAGAGCATGTTAGGTTTACACGGACGACAGTTTGTCTCATCTTTGAAAAATAAGACCAAGTTGGCACATAGTCGTGGTTGCATGTAAATTATAGTATTTCTTTGGCTCACATGTTAGTTAGATAGCAATAGGTACCGAGATATTATGTTGAACAAATATATATTATCTTTAACAAATATTCTCCCAGGTTATTAGAAAGAATCCTTGTCATCTACCACAAAAATGGCACAGAATGTAGTGTGCTTTTAATTAAATGAAGGTTAATTTTCGAATTTTTATTTGTAATTGTGGTTATTGTTGTTATTATAGCATTGAGGATCATTCATAACCACTGTGATTATTATTGTTGTTACTTACTAGTTGGGCATTATTATTTTCACAGCTATAATCAAGTTGTTATTAATATTCAGCAAAACCTTAATTTGCACAGAAAATAGACCAGTTAATTAGACAAGAATGAGATTTACCTGAAGGTTTATAGCCAAAACCAGAGAAACATACGCCAAGTTGCACTGTGGAGAAGTTTTTAGGTTATTTCCTGCTGAGGGACTTCTATTTTAAGTAGTTATTTTCCTCCTTCCAAGAAAGAAAAGAGGAATTGGAAAAGCATGGTTACTAAAAAGGAGTCATATGTGGCAGAATTGGGCATTTTACCGTTCTGCGGGAGACTCTTTCGACATGCCAATCCAGAAACAAAGTTGTTAACCTGTGACAGCACAATGGAAATCAAATTTTCCACCAATCAAAATAATTCGATGATAAAGCAGCACATGCTGTGTTAATAATGCTTCATACCAGAAAAAGAGGCAAAGGGACCAAACTTTAGTTCTTGTCCATTTATTGTTTCTCAACATAGCATCAACATTGTCATCGAAGAAAAGATAGCTTCCAATCCGTACACCAACAAGATGCAAACCCCAATACCCTGAGGCATGAAAAATCAATGAAAGATTACAATGAAAAATTAAAAGCACCGTTTACAGATACACCTTGTAAATTTAACTAATCATTGTAGTGCATGGATTAACTTATGAACTACTTGCACAATTTTAATAAAGTAAATCAAGGTGACACCATTCTAATTTTGTTCTAACTCAAGGTTGTAAGTTTACATTTTGACTCGGGGAAACAAAATGTTGAGATAATCTGTTCCTGCTCAGTACACCAAAATCAAATTTATTTCCATGGTAGCTTATCATGTCTTGCAATGTCTGATATGTTAATGGCCTGCTTTATTTGTATTTTGCTTAGTCGGCAAGAGAAGAATATTCTGGCATTCCGTGTTACCTGCTATAATATTAAAGTAAACTACTATATGATTTCTACAAAACCAGTGATGTTATGTGGGCTGAGAGTTGGAGACATTTACATGTACAAAGTATATCTAAGATGAGAATGCTGAGACAAATTTGTGATTAAAAAAAAAAAGATGAGATAGAATAAGAAATAAGAATATAGGGAGGTAGTCAAGGACATGTCCATTGAACATAAAGTATTGATTGAAATAGATTGACCATATTCAGCTAAGGCTACTAAAATCAACTAAGGGTCCGTTTGATTGCAAATGTGGAAAATGGGTGGAAAGAAAATGTTTTACAGAGAATTTAATTGTCTAAAAATTGTTTTACTGGAAATTGTAATTAATTGTATTTGATTGGTATAATTTTTCACCTGAAAAATGTTGAAAGTTTGGTGTCGATTTGGCTTCGTTTTTTATGGAAATTGTCAAAGTGATAATTTTTTCAACTATTGGGTCTAGAATTTGTTCCAATTGCCAAAAAAAAAAAATTACCATACCGAATACCATTCGTTTGGCTTTATTTTGCATGAAAATTGTCAATAAAAGTGAAATTTTTTATTACCATTGTGTCTAGAATTTTTTTCAATTACCAAAAAAAAAAATTTACTGGAAAACCATTTTCCCACCTAAGTGGGTGGGAAAATGATTTCATGGAAAAGCAAGAAGACCTTAAGTGGGGAAAACCATTTCCCTAGAAAAAACCTATCAAACAAAGGAAAACTTGGAAAATGGAACACTAATTCCATTTTCCATGGAAAATGTGGTGTATCAAACACAACCTAATTTGAAAAGAAATGCAACTAATATTAATTGTAAACTTGGACAAATAGATAGGCCAAAATTCAAGTGGAATGAAGTGATTAAAGATTTGAGCAAATATGATTTTAACTTTGAAGAGGGACTTGGACACTGCAGAGTAAGAGGAGAATCAATGTAGCTGCCCTTGGATAATGACATAATATTAGGTTCAGTTGCCTTGTATCTTCCACGAAATTTCTATTCACAAAAAGAAACTGATGAGAAAATTTTTCGTTTGGTCGTAGTGATGAACAAGTCATTGAAGGCCATAAAATAGTCCATAAAACAAGAACTGTCCATGTCATTCCTTTACAATGGCAAACAACCAAAGCACCAAAAACTCCCAGAGGTACAGTGCTACATCAGCAAAGAACTTGGTCACAGGGCTCTAACTGCTTTCTTACTACAGGACATTTACATAGTCAACACTTAGGTCCGACCTGAAGCAAACTCTTTTGTTCGCCTAAGGCTCAGTGTCCAAATGGAGTGAGTGGCTTTTGGTGATACAAATATTATAATAGCCTCACCCTACACTAAACAAAAGTGAAGTGAAATAATAATGTTGGAAGCTAAAGATGAGAGTTATTACATATTGTCCTGTCTTGCTTAGTGCAGGCAGAAAGTCGTTCAAGAACCCTAGTGATTTTAGAAATAATTTTGTTTTTGGGTTATCCAAATTGGTTTGTGTGTTAATTATTTGCTTTTCCTCGTTGTTCCCAGACATCCTTCATTAATTAATTCATTTTCTTTTATTCGATATTAGAACTATTTTGGTTAGTTTTAGGAGTACATAGGTCTAGGAGCTTATAATATTCTCTAGCTTGTATTCATCATTTCAATGCAATTTCTTCCTGCACTTCCCCCAAAAATTTGGATGAACCAAAAAGCATCACAATATAAAAAGTAAAGTTTTAAAATAACTATAAACTTGACTTTCGGAATCAAATATTTAGTAATGCGTTCTAGCAAACTGTATTACCCTGAGACAAACGCGAATATCATGAATGTGAAGTACATCAACTAAAAAGGTACTGTTTCTAGTTCAACAGCCCTCCCCCACCTCCCATACTCTCCAGGAGGGGGAAAAACAATAAAGAACGAAGAGAAAATGGTAATAAGAATTTTCATTCAATATATTACAGGGAGATCCTCACCGAATATGCTAAATATTCCTTCCTTATTCTGGTTTATCACGTCTGTTCCCCTTTTCTCAGAAAGCAGATACTCGTTCAACCCATGTGACAGGAAAACTTGATATCCTAATATATGAAATAAGAGTTCAAACATTAACAACTAAGAAATCCAAACAATATATGCAATTAGGAACTGAAAAAGGAAAATTGTATTGCTCACCTATGAGGATAAGGGAACCTAGAATTCCGCAATGATTTGGAGCAACATTAACTATGGATGTCAGAATAGACACAGCAGCAAGAGTGAAAAAGAAATTCCAATGGACTCCATATTCACCAACGTGAACCTATGAGAATAAAAGATGATGAGCCTAAATATTTTAACGATAAGAATAGCAGGGCAATATAATCCCTTGCAGAAGTATGATATGAAGAGCAAAGATCATGGCCAACAATAAAAAAGGATAAGAAGATATGACAGGAAAATGCAGAAAGGAACAAATCTATAAGGACCATCCTTTTTCCCTTGAAACTAATAAAGCATAGGTAAAGTTGCATAGGTCATATTGGACTCTCGCTAGAAACAGCCATAAAGCACAGGCAGACCATGTTTAACTTAACTGGCTCTTTATATCTGTCCAAAAACCTTAATTCCCTTGATTAACTAAATTGAAACCAGCAAGTATTAAATTTAACTACTTTCCTGTTAAACATATGCCTACAATTTCGTTACTTCATTCCACTACTCATCTAAAAAGGAATTACACGCAATTTCTATTACTTCATTCTTTTCTTCTTTAACCCAACACCATTTACTTTCAAGAAAGAAAAGTAAAATTTTAAAATTAAGCATCCCGGTCAGCACCGGCATTGTTTGGCACTCAACTGAAAAAAGGGCAGGATAAATGGAAAGAAGTCAATTTAAAGAGATCGTGAACAAAAACAATTGATCAAGAAGTTTGTCAACTGTCACATGCATTGTTCTAAAAGGCGCCAAAACGCGCCGCCTAGGCGCGACGCGGAGCCAAACGCGTCGAATTGGTGAAATGCGGGTAAAAATGCGTTTCTGTTCGAAAATACGCCGACTAGGCGCGCATAGGCGTGGCATTTTGGCAAAATGCCGCGCATATGCGCGCCTAGGCGGCGNGTCACATGAAAGATGGTAAAAAACAAGCGTTCATTTTTATTCATATTATTGTTAACAGTTCCTTTTTATATTAGTCCCTTAATTCTCAATTAGTTTAACAGCTTTTCAACTTTTCTAAGTAAATATTTAAATATTATCAATTTAATATACAAATAGTACTTTTAAATTTTGCATGCATGCATAACCAGCGTCCTATGATTGCCAGTACACAAATGTAGAATCATAGAGCTAATCTATGTTATACAAAAAGAAGATTAAGATACTCATATCCTACCTGATAATCCACGCTTCTTGTGGAAATAAGTCGAGCAAACCCTAAAAAAATTAAAGGACTTGTCGAACAGAGTGCATTTCTCAATGTCCTGGATAATATGGACAAACAAGAATTTAAAACTACTTCAAAAGATAAATGAAGTGAGACCATAGTGTGTAACAGCAATTAACACGATCATCTGACTGTAAATGGTTATTTATATCAGCAAGCAACCAGTTCCACATCCATACTGTATAAAGTTGTAAACAACACACTGGAATCATCTGATAGGCTAAGCTCTTGTTTTGGGAATAGATCATAATCAGTTTAAATTACAAATAGAAAGAAACGAACGGTGGATAAGTGGGTAGTGCTTGTGGGTCCCAAGAAATGTGAATAAAAAGTACGTTTGACCAATTTTGGTTATAAATAAAATAGGTGCCAAAAAAGGCTAGATAATATGGTAATTAACAAACTGGAATCATCTGCAAACAACATGGGTCCAATTCTTCCAGAAATCAATGCCACGGAGTGAGGCAAGAACATAGGCAGCAATCCTCAAAAAAACTAATTAGCTTAGAGTTGAAAGAAATTCCATGACTTCAAACTATTATAATCCATTTGGATCCTGGATTCCAGAGAAAAAAACTATTAAAAAAAAGACCTTTTGTGGTTGCTTGATTCCAGAGAAAAACCGCACATACATACTTGTAAAAGTCAATTTATACATTTATTTCATTTTTACAAGTTCAACTATATTCAAGAAACTTTTATAGTTGATTTTAGGTGGAAAAAAAGGCAAAATCACAATGTTTCAGATTGGGTACGTGAATTAAATATCTGGTTCAATAAACATCCAAATTTTAGACACAATGGCTACGATATATTTTATCTTTCAACCTTAGTGGTAAAATTATATCTATTATAATTAAAATAGCTCAAAATGCGTACAACTTCTTTACGAACTTGAATAAATTAAACATCTTTGATATACTTTTTAGATTTATGATCACATCAGAATACAAGTAATGCATTCCCTTGTCTGAGTATCAAGTATCCAATATACAGGTGATTCGTGCAGTTCGCAGAGTGGGGTACTCTCTAATTCTAACAATCCAAACAGAGTCTTGAATTGTGAAGAATCTTCCATAAGCATGTTGTCAAAAATTTTAATTTGAAGGAGTTCAATGCTTTTATGACATGTATAATTTACAATATCCCAAGCAAGATGCTGCAAGATTTACCAACAGAAGCTTGCAACAATAAGTATAACATCGATATCACTCACAAGCAGGCACAAAGGTAAGGAAGAATGAGAAAAATATGGTCACCCAGAGGAGAGAAGGGGAGAATGAATACTTTTCTCATATATGTACAATTAAAACACATGCTCATTTAAAAGTCACAAAATGAACAAGGGAATAAATGAATGGAAACCAATACAAGTTACTAAAATAAAAGCAGGGATAAATATGAAATATATATATCCTACCATAGACATAAAAATTTACATAGACCTCACAATTTTTTTTCCCTTTCAGGAGCCATGTACAAGGAGATGGACTAGGCTGCGGACAACTTATATCATTTGTTTCAGAATCAAACAACAGCAGTTGGTTAGCACCAAGAGAAAATTATAGCTTGTTATTGAAATCTTGCAAATTGTGACAATGCACCAAGAAACAAATAATTATAAAGGGCAATAAACATTTCTTATCTGCTTTTGGTCACAACTAATATGCATGACCTCAAAGATTTTTCTTTGAAGCCAAGAAGTCACTTATTATTGAGACATTTACGAACCACGAGCCTCTATAGATTCAAATTTCAAATTCCACTTTAATGTACAAGTGTACATGTAGATAAGAAGCATGAGAAGAGCCACATAGCACTGCCTATCATAAGAGGCTGAGCCATCTGTCATATTCTTGAGAAATGGGTCAAATGAAAAGACAAAATGCATAGAACCACTTACATATTTGAGATGCCACGTGCCTGACGTGAAACCAAGGAATTCACTAGTACAAATGAACCTACCCCAAGATCCATCTGATGTGATCACAAGTCAAAGGACAGAGGTAATTAGTGCATACGGATATTTTGAAATCAATAATCCAACACTAGTACCTTCTAGATTCATCGGTTTTTAATTAATTTAGCAGAACCATGTCCAATTGAAAAAGAATTGGACCAGCAGTTGGACGAAAGTACTTTATGTAAATAGAGTCCAAGAATCACATGGAAAATTTTAGCACAATTTACAAACAAAAATTACTACTACAAATATTGTAGAATATTTTTGAAAAATCCAAAAAGCACACGACGAGAAAATTTAGAGTATAAAAATTTATTCTTTTTGGGGCGGAGGGGAAGAAGGAAGCACGACGTGCTATCCAAGAAATGGAACTAGGTAGAAAAAAAAAGAAATTTCTATTAGGCGTATCAAGATTATTAAAGGCATGTATGATGTAGTACTCACAAGTGTGAGATGTAGTGGATCGAGATCTCCCTATCATTGTAGGCTTATCCCAAAGTTTTGTTTTAAGCCCTTTATTTTCACAATAATCATGGAGGAGCTGACTTACAGGATATATTCAAGATGAGGTCCATCTGGGGTGTGTTAATTGCTAATGATCTAGTTTTAGAGATAAGATTAAGAAGGGTTTAATCGTAAATTAGAACTTGGAATCTGTAGGTCTCTTGAGTTGTTAAAAATTTAGTAGTTTCAGAAAACAATGAACTGAACGAAGTGGTGAGAGGAGGACTTATGTAGCCAACCCAACTCTATTTGGAACAAAGCTTAGTTTGTTGTTGTCGATATGACAAACTCATAATCAACCATTATCTCTGATTCTCAAATGCTCAATAGTTGCCACCGACTCATAATCAAACATTATTTCTGATCTCGTCTTTGAGGAATAGTTTGTTCATTTGTTTAAGTTTACAAAAATCAAAAGACTTGCTCGTTGATAAATGGTTTTGACTTCTATGTCCATAAGGACCAACACTTAAAATATTGTTGAACAGTGCATACTAATATCTCCACTATTCAAGAAGTCATGCTCTTGTCGCCCTAACAAAAATGATGATCACGACCATTTTTAGAAACTACTCCATGTAATACCTAGACAGGCTGGCAACGCAGTCTTTGATTTCAATGAATTGTGTATAAGCTTGGTAAAACATATTTCTCTCGAGGTGGCACCACCTCTGAGACCATCCAAAAGTGTCCCAAGCAAAATTAGAAAACGATAATAGAGTGAACTCCTACTTATGCCAAAAATGAATGAACAAATATAAACATATCCATAAATACATGAAGAAGAAGATATAGGCTTTATTAAATCAGCATCTAGACTCACCAAACCAGTGCCATAGGTCTCTGTTTTAGCATATCTTCTAGGAAATATCTTGAAATCAACAGCCAGAATGCAAAAGCATGTAACAAGCATCTGCAGCAATCGTCCTTATAGCCAAAATAAAAAAATTCAAGGAACATATAATCCAAAAGAAATATCATGTACTGAGCGCACATCTGACCACATACCATAGAAACTCTGTACGAGGAGATATTTGCCCTAATTGAGTCCATGTTGCATTCCTGAAGAAAAGAAGATCCATTTCTGTTTGGAAGACTATATTAATTCCAGTTATATGCATTACTAAATTCACTTTTTTAGATTTCTAATTCAAAGAAGGAAAAATAAAAATAAAAACGAAAATTATCTGAAAATTTACCTTTTAACTGCTATCATGAAAAGGAGAAGCAAAATCATCGAAATTGCAGTTATATGTGTCCATTCTGCCAGAACCTGTCATTGACTAATCAAATTATATCAACTACATTCATTACACAAAACCCAGCTTCTTTTATGGAAACACTGCCAGTAAAGTTACACACAACTTTCTTCTGTATTCACCAATATCAATTTTAGATATTTGATATTGTGTTGTACGTTGAAAAGCAATCAGTAAAATTATGTAACTTAATAATATTCCTGGTCATGTAAGAAGCAATCTTTACCCTGCCAATGCACGGTACAGATTTCCCACATATAATAGAATTAAAAACCCGTTTTGGAAAGTAACAGTATCCAAGTATACGAATATGCTTTCCTTAATCATATAATTTATGCATTATTCTTGTTGACTTCAAAATAAGCTGCCAACAGATGCCGGATTCACTCGTGCATGCGTAAGCTGTATCCAACAAGCAAAGACGGATCAACGGTCGGGATCACTCCACAATTAGACGTGGGAGAAGCTCAACGACACGAGACGTTTCCGTTCGCGTTCCGACAAGATATCCAAAACATGATTGTACAATGATATCTAATCGCAATGAACTTAATTTTAAGATTGTAAATGAATATGAGAGAGTAAAACCGATTGCTTCAAGTATCTAAAGTTGCATTAGCCTTCAACTGTTACATGGTAGGGGTATTTATAGTATTACAAACAGAATGGTGACCCTTAGATGAAATTACATGTGGCTTCATCCCTACGGCCAAAGCATCAAATCCTAGCCATTATTTTGACTTCCTAGCTTTACAAAGTATTTAATGTTCTTACACCCTATTCGCAAGACAAGACACAAATACACTTTTTACAGACGTCACATCAATCACTCAAATAAGATATCTTTAATAAATTCAAGATCTCTGCACGTGGGCCGTCACTAATTGGAGTGGAGTCTCGGACCTATTGGGCCTCGGATCTGGGCCTCCTCGGCATGTCCACCTCGAATTAATAGTGGGCCTCGGAAATTACCATCTGGGTCTCGTCTTCTATATTTGGTGGTTCAGCAGGTATGGGTCCACAACTTCACTGGGTCGGCCACATGGCAAATGCTAGTACCAAGTCATAACCATTCTCAACCATGTTTTGAAAAGTAATTTATGAGACTTGACTCAAAGATCACCTCGAGACAATAAAGAGAACCATTTGTCTTCTTAGGCATACGACCTACATGACAAGGCTTTGCCTCAAGAATCGCTCGGAGATAGTTTAAATACACTATCATTGAGCCATATGTTTTACAAAAAAATTGACTAAAGCTAGGAAAGAAAGGATTTCTTTTTACTAAAATATTAGCAGTTCGAGTTTTTGTGTATGTAATACCACCAGCCCTCACCCCTAAACCAAGCTAGCCATCCCTGACTTTAGGTCTAGATTTTGGTAAATTATTTTCCTTCTCTAAACACTATTTCTATTTATTAATTCTTATCTTTTTGGACAGCCATTGCTTATTCACAGCCTTCCACATGCTGAACATTTTTTTAATGGAAGAAATTTTGTGGTTAGCAGAGAGAAAATGAAAAAAAGGTCCTACTTAACATTTGGTTAAGTGGTAATTTTAGTATACCATTGTATGTATTTGTAAAATAACTTGTTCATATTCTCCAATCGCAGATCGATTGGACCCAACTCAAGGCCAATTATTAGACCTGAATTGGAGTCCATTTGACCAGATCGAGGACCATTTTTGACCAGGATGGGGATTGATTTGACTCAACCAGTTCACCAATCTTGCTGACTGACTGTTCACTAAAATGAAGTCATCTAAAGCATTTTATACAGTATCAAGGCCTTTTAAACTAAAAATTAAAGTAAGGCTATTTTTCACCGTGCACATTAAAAGAATGCCATTTACGTCGCCATTTTCTTTCTATCATTTACTTCTGAACATTCTCAACCCTATAGAACTATATTAGATTCTTACAAGGACCGGCAGTTGTACAGATATCTATAATTATAAAACAAAAACAAAAATAATAATACATGAAAGGCTTGCACCTATTGCTTGGATCTTTCTCCTAGCCTAACCTTCACCTTCCACCCTAAAAATACTGATCCAGCAAATCTTCCACTTCTCTGTCTTTAGAAGTTCTAGAAATAGTTCTCCACACAATATCCCATTACTATCTCTATGACCAATGCAACCCCACACACACCCAAAAAAAAAAAAACAGGAGACACACACCCCCTCGATACTTCATTGTGCAAAAATGTGAAGGCAAAAAGCATGAAACTCCTCACTCAAAATTCTATACTCATAGCAGGCATAATTTCAAAAGGAGCCTCATTCCTCTTCCTAAACAGATTAAGCTATGTACTTGACTACACAAATTTTGTGCAAACTGAGAATACTTACTGTCAAAAATAAGATGTATGGAACAACAATGCAGGTAGAATCAACAACCAGTGCTGCGATGTACGCTCTCAAATTCTTATTACAATCGGCAGCAGCATCATTTTTCTTAATGGGGCCTGATAAAAAAAACAGCACGATAAACTTGGCACAAAAACTCTGGCGAGCCAGAATTGATTTTACAATAACACACAGTATAATGTCACTTTTACTTCAATAGTATCATGGTAATAATCCATCAAAATTACATTAAACTCTAGTAATAAAAGTTTATAGATTTTTATTTAAATTTATTACCGGTAGTGTCATAATTGAAGCCGATGCAACGCCGTATAAGAATCAGAACCTGATTTTACGAACACACAGTAGCAGCTCAGAATTAACGATTAAGAGTACAGAAACCAAAAATTAAAACCCAAAAAGAAAAAGCATACGGTTTAGTACTCACAGAGAGAGTCGTGAGTAGGAGGAAGATTTCTAGCTTGGAAGATCCTGTTAAGTTGCTCACAAACCTGAAATCGCGTTTCGTTTTCCATCAATAAAACATAATAAATCAGAAAAGAAGCAACCTTTGAAATAAAATAAAAAAGGAATAAATATGCAGATTTTGTTAGCGCATACTGTTCTTTGAGATTTTTGCTAGGATTGAAGGACCTAACGGTTGAATCCATGGATTACTCCGAAAAGCTTCGAAATGCAACAAGATTTTGGTGTGTGACCTGCAGGAGACTGTGCAGTTCTCCTACGGTTCTATGAGCTTGATAATTTTAGGCGAAGCGACTGTTCTATGGCTGAGGAATAGAAAAGGCATGAACATGACATTAGTCACTGTTTGCCCCCATTTTTTTCTCGTTCTCATCCTCGTTCTTATTCTCTCTCTTCATTTCAACCACACATTCTATTATATTTTATTATCTCCTTTAATGTGGATAGGGATGAAAATCTAATGGTAAAAGTTTTTAGGACTTAATTCAAAGTATAATGTTTTAAGTCCAAAATTAATTATTAAATTTTTATAAATAAAATAAAAATATAGATAATTGTTATTTAATTAAATATATATAATGGGGTGGGGTAGATTGAGGTTTGGGATAAATCAATTACCTCTCCATCTCATCCTCCACCCTCTCTCTATCTCACACCGACGATGCCGCCGCCGACGCCTCATCTATTCTTCCTCTCTCAACGCCGCCGTTGCCACGACGACGTGGACTTTTCTTCCACTCATCTCCCTCGCTCGTTTTCGCTCTCTCTCGTCTTCTTCAAATTGTCGCCGTCTCTCTGTCTTCTCCACTTTTCTTGGCTGTCGCTACTTACTCCGGTGACTGTAAGTTAATGCAGTTGGGTCAACAGGTCTCAAGCAGGGAAGTTGGGTGGGGTT